AACAGGGGCAGCAACAAAGCCAGAGGAGCATGGAAGCCAAGAGAGCCACACAAGAGAGGGAGCTTCTTATCTGCTGGTTTACACATTCCCAAATGGGTGCCAGCTTGCAGTGGCCCTGCCTAGTCTAACCAAAGACATTGATCCCCAGGCTTGACTGACAGGCGCTTTCCCTTGTAACCCCAACTCCTTGTGTATGCACTCACCTCCCATTAGTTCGATCCCTTCCCCTGTGGTCTTCAGGGCTGGGCCAGTGAATTGCAGCTTCCTAGTGAAGCTACGGAAATAACAGGCCTAAAGCGTCTTGCCTTTCCCCTTGCTCCTGTTCTATTAACAACTACCTAATTGCAATGGTGTTAATAGAATCTCATTTATCAGTCCATGACAAAATCTTCAGAGGTCAGCTTGTTGGTCAGGATGTGAAAGTTGTTGTGTTCAGGTTTTAGGAACAATAATTGAGTTTGTGCCTTATTGAATTCAGGATTAACCTTGGACGTTGAAGGCAGAGCATTTTTGAGAGCCAGTTCTCAGGAATTGACTCTAGGAGATCAGTTAATATCTGCAGATCTGAAACTCAAAAAGAAGAGTGAACTTTGAAAGGCCTTGGGTTAGGCTTGAAGTGTTTATTTTGAGTTAAAGAGTATATTCTGACATGTGGCGTTACTTCTAAGCAGTAGGGTAACAGTGACAGGGAGTTAGAATATTCAGTGGCTTGGTCCCATCATTCCCAGAATTTTTTGGCTTATGGTGCAAAATGTTTTCAGAGAGTGGATAAGAGTTAGTTTATTCTAGAACCTCTTTTTTTTCAGGTACAACTATCATTCGAAAAGCCAGATGTTAGAGTCCAGATGCCTACCATTGAACGGCTGTCCATGTCAAGATATTTCTACCTCTTTCCTGGCAATTGAAAATCAAAGCTGTTGACAGGTATAACAAATGGGAAAGTGACATTGGTGATGAGGTTCATGGGCTAATGACAGTCAATTGCTTGGGTAGTCAAATTAATGTTGCCTATTGATGTAGTTTAGTGACTAGATATTATTTTTTTTCTCTACTTATATGAATCTGGATCCTCCTCATCTTGATAATCAATTAATCAGTCAGCCAATCAAGGAGATAAGCCAAACTGAGACAGGAAGTAATAAACAATCAAGGACACAGGGTAGTCATCAATGAAACAGAAATGTATTCATGCTTCTATTATTACTCTCTCTCTCTCTCTCTCTCTATCTATCTATCTATCTATCTTTCTCTCTCCTTCCCTCCCTTCCTCATGGGGAGTCCAGAGAGGTGCTTTGCTAACGGAGAGTGAAATACTTTGCTACAATTTGCTCCAAAACAGAATGCTTAATTACCACAGACTCCTCCCCAACCACATCTG